CGTTAGAACTTGGAATCCAGAATACTAGAATATAGTGCCTAACAAGAACCTTAAAATGCAGAGTGCCAGCACTGGAAGGACATCAAAGGTCATTTAGTCTAACCCTCTGCTTTGACAGATGAGGAAACTCCAAGCTGGAGTTCTGTGGGAGCCCATCGCCCTAATGGTGTCAGCTGTTCCATGGAGGTGAGCTGCTCTTCCCTTCCCAAGTGGCTTTTTTTTCTTTTAACTAGCACCCTGTGGCAGTGTCTTTGAGGAGTAGGAGGCAGGGCAACAGCTGGGGCAGTGTCAGATCACAGGCTAACGGGAGAAGGGAAGGGGAGGGGAAGCTGCAGAATGTGCCAAGGCATCCATTGCCCTGGCAGAGCACACCCCCACACTCCTGCTCATTTGGCACTGTCCTTCCCTGGTGAAACCTGATATATTGTGTCCCATCTGAAGGGGGGAGACAGCTGCTGGACAGAGGGTTCAGAAGCTGAAAGCAAGGTCTAGAAAACCAAGACAGTGGAAATGTGGTAGAGTGAAAAGGACAATGTGCAAGGTGTTAAGAAGGTAATAATGATAGGAAAACAGTAATAAAAATAAGGCAGGTAGGTGGCACAGTGGATAGATTGACAGGCCTAGAGTCAACTAGACTCATCTTCCTGAGCTCAAATCTGGCCTCAGACACTTACTAGTTGTGTGACCCTGGGCAAGTCACTTAACCCTGCTTGCCTCAGTTTCCTCATCTGTAAAATGAGCTGTAGAAGGAAATGGCAAACCACTCCAGTATCTGCCAAGAAAACCCCAAATGTGGTCTCAAAGAGTTTCAAATGACTGAACAATAACAACAGAAATGTGTTTGGTCAAGAGGGCTAAAATCCTCCATTTTCATGGGGCCTAAATTCCATGTGACTCTTTTTTTGTATCAGCTAGGCAAAGTAATGGATACAGTAATCATGAAGATTCATCTTCATGAGTTCAAATCCAGCCTCAGACACTTGCTAGTTGTGTGACCCTGGGCAAGTCACTTAACCTTGTTTTCCTCAGTTTCCTCATCTGTAAAATGAGCTAGAGAAGGAAATGGCAAATCACTCCAGTATCTTTGCCAAGAAAACCCCAAATGGGGTCACAAAGAATCAGACACAACTAAAAACACTGAACAACAACAACAATAACATTTATATAGCACCTGCTATGTGCCAGGCACTGCACTAAATGCTTTACAAATATTATCACATTTGATCCTCACAGTAACCCTGGGAGAAGATGGCATTATTATCCCATTTTACAACTGAGGAAACTGAGGCAGACGTTAAGTGACTTTCCCAGAGTCACATAGCTAGTAAGTATCTGAGGCAGGTTTTGAACTTGAGTCTCCCTGACTTCAGGTCCAAAGCTTTACCCGTTGCAGCTCCTATCTACCTAAAGGTCTAGAATCCTAGTCCTAATTCTGCCACTACCTCACTATGGGACCTTGGGCAAGTCATTGATCCTCCTTGGGCCTCAGTTCTATAAAATGCAGTATCAGTATTTATATCTATATCAGATCTATATATAGATCTCAGTATCTATAAAATGAAATGACTGGGGCTGATGATCACAAGTGATCCCTTCCAGCTCTAACATCTTGTGTTCTATGTCCTTACATTCTATTCTTATTTTTTTTTAATGTTACATCCTAAAGCCCCTTCTACAGCAGCTCTAATGTCTTATGTTCTAACTTTCTACATGCTAAGATCTTCCAGCCCAAACACTCTATGGCAGGAGTTCTTAATCTTTTTAGCCTATGGACCTCTTCTCAGAATAACATTATTGAATACATAAAATAAAATACACAAGATTACAAAAGAAAACAATTATAGTGAAATCTAGCTACTGAGATAGTCAAAGTTTCAAGGTCACCAACCCTAGATTAGGACCCCCCAACCTTAGGGCTTCTTTCAGCTCTAACATTCAATGTTGACTTGCCCAGTGTTACACAGCTAATAATAACAGCTAACATTTATATAGCCCTTACTATGTGCCAGGCACTGTGCTAAGCACTTTACAATTATTACCTCATATGACCCTCACAACAACACTAGAATGTATGTGCTATTATCATCGCCATTTAGCAGATGATGACACTGAAGTAAACAGAGGTTAAATAACTTGTCCAGGGTCACACATCTAGTGAGTATCTGAGGCAGGATTTGAACTCAGATCTTCCTGACTGGAGGCTAAGCTCTCTATCCACTTCATCACCTAGCTGCCTCAGCTACTATTCAGCAAGGGAGCTGTAACTAGAACACCAGTTAACCAGTGTTTTCTACTAGCACTACTTTCTCTTCCAGACTGAAACCTAAGCTCAGATCTTTTTTCTTAGCTTCTTGGAGGATAAGAAGAGATCCTTCTTACAATAGCAATGATTGCCTTCGTTATTCAACAATAAAAATTTCAATTTAAAAAAAAAACACTTAGTAAGCAGTAAGTGTGTATCAGACCATGTTCTGGGTATTAGGGATACAGAGATGAAAAAGGCCCCATCCCTGCCCTCAAGAAGCTTACAGTTTAGAAGAAAATGCAGCATAGTCTACAGATGAGCAGGAAATAAAGTAGTGTGTGCCCAGGGCAAAGGAGATGTCTAGAAAAAGTGCCAGGAGAAATTTGAGGAGGAAGTAACCTTTTTGGAGATGGGGAAAGAAGTAGGGAAGATTTCATGAAAGGCTGGAGAGAGGGAGTGCATCAGAGATGAGCCTTGAAGGAAGGGAGGGATTTAACAGATGGAAGTGGAAGAAAGTAAAGGAAAGTCGATTCCAGACTTGAGGGATGGCACGAACAAAGAGAGGAGATGAGAGAAAGCAGGACAAGGGGAGAGACACTTGTGCAGTTTGGCTAGAACACAGAATGTGTAAAGGGAACTAATATGAAAATTCAGTAACTTAAATTGCATTTAGTAGGTAATGGGCACACACTGGACTTTTTTTTTTTGAATAGAGATCAGACTGAGGAATTAGGAAGATTATTCTAGCCACCCATGGAAGATAGGTGGAGAATGCATGATCTCAGTCATCCTCCCACCCACCTAGGCAGAATTATGCCTTACAGTCCTGGGACATTTGGCTTTAATAAACTTTAAGGTCCCTTCTAGCTAAGTAATATGAATTTATAGGGCAACTAGGTGGTTCAGTGGATAGAGAACCAGGCCTGCAGTTAGGAAGACCTGAGGTTAAATCTGACCTCAGACACTTATAAGCTGTGGGACCCTGGGCAAGTCACTTAACCTTGTTTGCCTCAGTTTCCTCATCTATAAAATGAGCTGGAGAAGGGAATGACAAATCACTCCAGTATCTCTGCCAAGAAAATCCCAAATGAGATCATGAAGAGTTGGACACAATCAAAAAACAACTGAATAACAAATGAACTTATAATCCTCTCCTATATGGAGTCCCATCAGCACAGAACTCCCTATGTCCAATAGCAAATCCTGGAGGAATGGGTAGTCTTGAAGAAAGTTGGCAGCTAAAGAGAAATCAAATAGGGTTAGGCCTTATTAGTCACCCATCCTGCCTTCTGGAGATGCTGAACTGGTAGGTGAGGGATAGGGAGGGTAGGGAAGAACAATCTACTTGCCAAGTGGAAAAGGATGAACCATTGGAAAAGCCAAGTCATTTTCCAGTTTCTTGGAAACTTTTTCTGTTCCTATTTCATAGAAATCATGATTCCTTGGGACCCAATAACCCCAGAAAATGATAACATTCATCATTGTCCCTTCAGGGTCTCTGTCAGAGTTTCTGGCAAGAGCTCCTTAGAAGACACCTTCCCCTACCCCAACCCTTCTCTTTCCTCCCTACCTCCTACAATGTCAGAAGCTCTGATCAAAAAGATCTTTTCCTAGAGGAATGACTTCAACCACTTTCCATCTGCCACTTTCTAGATCTCTTACTCACTTAAGCTATCTGGATCTGTTTCCTTCTGAACTTCAATTTCTTATAAAAGAGGGCATTTTCATCTCAGCCTTCAAATGGGCAAAGGGACAGAAAACATGGATGGTCAATGTTGTAGGGATGGTGGGAAGATGGGTACATTTATTAAGTGACTACTATACACCAGGCACTGTCCTAGGTACTGGAGATACAAATACAAAGAATAGAACAATTCCTACTTTCAAGGAATTTTTATTCAAATGGAGAAGTCCAGGCATTTTAGACATGAATTTGGAATTATTCATTCATCCATTCATCCAACAAAAATGTAGTGAAATTATTCTGTGTGCATTGTGCTATATTTTGGGGGTGCAGAGACAAAAAAGAAATCCTTCCTTTGGGAAACTTAGTTTGGGGAAAAAACAGTATGTATGTTATATAAGCCCATGGGACAAAGCCCCTTTCCAGCCTTTGCTGGATACATCTACATATGAAAAAGTCAGGAATGTAATTAAGCAGGTAGAAGAGATGATGACATTACCACCTTTGCTTAGTTTGAGTAAGGTGTGTGTTACCTATGTATGTTACATATGTCCATGTGGGCTGTCTAAATTCAGCTCTCAGAAAGGCATTGATAGATACCTCTAGAATCTGACCTTTCCTCTTCAAGGGTGACTTTGATTACTGCCAAGAGGGAACAAAAGAAGGGACAATTAGACTAGTTGCTCTGCTGTCCTCTGAGATATGGGGCTATTAGACTAGAGTTATACTTATCTGCCCCCCTAAATATTACTAGTCTAGTGGAATGATTTTTTTAGGTTCAAGCCACTTTCCTGGTTTGTTGTCATTCAGCCATTTGGTCATATCTGACTCTTCATAATCTCATTTGGGGTTCTTGACAAAGATACTGGAGTGGTTCATCATTTTCTTCCCTTATTTTACAGATGAGGAAACTGAAGCAAACAGGGTTAAATGACTTGCCCAGGGTCACATAGCTAGTGACTGAGGCCAGATTTGAGCTCAGGAAAATGAGTATTCCTGACTCCAGGCTGGGTACTCTATCCACTGTGCCACCTACCTGCTCTTAAACATGATTAGGAAGTAAATATTGAAAACAAAAAATAAATAAATTTATAAAAAAATGATTAGATGCCTTAACTGTATTTTGTGGTAAAGGCCACTAGGACCTCTTCCATCCTTATCAAGGGGAGTGCTAACCTCTCTTTTCATACAACACTCTCTCCTTTTATACAACACAACAGGAAGAATGGTAACCCTAAGCTTACAGCCACAAGATTGCGCTTTTCCCACTAAATGCTAGTTACACAAAAAAATCATCACAAATAATTAAAAGTAAGTAAACACATTTATCCAAGCAGATAGCAAACAGAGATCAGAGTTCCATAGATTATGACATAACAGAAGATACCTAGAGTGAATGAACTCTCCTACTGAGAGCAAGATATCTCAGCTCAACCAAAAGAGAGGTCCAGATCGCAAACAATGGGAAATTTCTCTAAGTTGCTAGGGAGGCAAGCTGGAAATCAGAGACTTTCTAAAGTACCAGCTTCTCCTCATGTCTGACACTTATTAAGTCTCTTCTCTCCTTTTCCAGAATCAGTCTGGAAAAGAGTCTGGAATTGCACATGTCTTCTCTCAAAGAAGAAAGGAAAAAGGTCTCTCCTCTCTAAAGCTCTCAGTCCAGCTTTACTCTCCACATAGGCATGCAGTGCCAAGTCTTCATTCTCTCCACCAATAAGAGAGAGTCTTATGCAAAGTTCTCCATGCTTGTAGTCTACATTACATTTGTCTCTGTGATTTATTTTCCCACCCAATTATTGATGTGAGAAAATAGAAGATGGTTCAAAAACTAGGGAATCTATGAACTCCAAAGGTGGGTTGGTAGTTATTGGGCAAACAACATTAGTTTGTTTTTACCCTAGCCATCAGAGATTGAAGATTGAGAACTGTATGTCGTGTTCATCATAAGTATAGAGTGAAGTCTCTAACAGAAGGACCCAAGACTGTGAAATGGGAAGAACAGTCCAAAAGAAATTCTGTCTAGGCACATTTGTTATCTGGCAAGATCCTTATTTTTGTTCTAAAGAGCTTGAGCCCTAGTGATGCTTTTTTATAAAGAACTCAGAAGCTTTTTACTAGGTTCTCGACAAGGATTTCTACATTTTCTAGAAGAATTGGAAAAAGCTTGTGGCCTTTAAAGACTGTAGGATGCCTACCTAGCAAAACCAAGTATAATCCTTCAGAGGGGAAAATGGATATTCAATAAAACAGAGAACTTTCAAGCATTTCTGATGAAAAGACCGGAGCTGAATAGAAAATCTGACTTTCAAATACAAGACTCAAGAGTAGCATAAAAAGGTAAACAGTAAAGAGAAATCACAAGGGATTCAATAAGGTTAAACTGTTTCCATTCCCATGTGGGAAAATGATACTTGTAACTCCTAAAAACTTTCTCATTATTAGGGCAGTTAGAAGGAGTATACATAGACAAGAGGGCATGGGTGTGAGTTGAATATGATGGGATGATTACCCAAAAAAAAAAAAAAAAAAGAAGGGATGAGAAAGTGGAATGCACTGGGAGAAAGGAAAAGAAAGTGGTAGAATTGAGTATATTATCTCACATAAAAGGGGCACAAAAGAGCTTTCACAGTGGACATGAAGATGGGGGAGATGGGGCGGGGGGAGGTGGAACGCTTGAACCTTACATCAGAATTGGCTCAGAGAGGGAATTACATGCACACTAATTTGGATATAGAAATCTATCTCACCCTACAGGAAAGTAAGAGGGGAAGAGGATAAAAGAAGGGGGGTTCTGATAGAAGAGAGCGCAGATTGAGGGGAAGCAGTAGTCAGAAGCAAAACATTTTTAATGAGGGACAGGGTGAAAGGAGAGAGAGAAAATAGAATAAATGGAGGAAATAGGATGGAGGGAAACATTAGTAATCATAACTGTGAAAAATCTTTTACTGCTAGTGTCTGATAAAGGCTTCATTTCTCAAATACATAGAGAACTGAGTCAAATTTATAAAAACAAGAGCCATTCCTCAATTGATAAATGGTCGAAGGATATGAACAAGCAGTTCTGAGATGAAGTAATCAAAGCTAACTATTGTCATATGAGAAAATGCTCTAAAATCACTGTTGATCAGAGAAATGCAAATAAAAATAACCCTGAGGCACATCCTGTGACCTTTGACTACCTGATACCTATCAGATTGGCTAATACAACAGAAAAGGACAATGACAAATGTTGGAGATACTAATAATGCGTTGTTGGTGGAGTTGTGAGTTGATTCAACCATTATGTAATTTGGAACTATGCCCAAAGGGCTATAAAACCATGCACACTCTTTGACCCAGCAATACCACTACCAGATCTATATGCCAAAGAGATAAAAAAGAAAAAGAAAAAAGACCTATATGGACAAAAATATTTATATCAGTTCTTTTCTGGTGGCAAAGAATTAGAAATTGAAGGGCTGCCCATCAATTGGGGAATGGCTGAACAAACTGTGGTATATGATTGTGATGGAATACTATTGTGCAATAAAAAATGACAAGCAGGATGCTCTCAGAAAAAAACTGGAAAGATTTATGTGAACTGATGCAAAGTGAAATGAGTAGAACCAGGAAAACAATGTACACATAACAGCAATATTGTACAATGATCAATTGTGAATGAATTAGCTATTCTCAACAATACAATGATCCAAGACAATTCTGAAGGACTTATGATGAAAAATGCTATCTATCCCCAGAGAAAGAACTGGTGGAGTCTGAATGCAGAGTGAAGTATACTTTTTTTAACTTTCTTTATTTTTCTTGGGGTTTTTTTTTTGGTCTATGTTTTCTTTCACAACATGACTAATATGGAAAGATGTCTTGCATGACTGCACATGCAGATAGCCTATATCAAATCGCTTGCCTTACCAATGAGGGGAGAGGGAAGGGAGGGAAAGAATTTGGAATTCAAAATTTAAAAAAAAGACAAATGTCAAAAATTGTTTTCACATGTAATTGGGGAAAAATAAAATACTAAATAAATAATTTTTAAAATGTTTTTTGGGGGTCAGCTAGGTGGCACAGTGGATAAAGCACCAGCCCTGGATTCAGGAGGACCTGAGTTCAAATGTGGCCTCAGACACATAACACTAGCTGTGTGACCCTGGGCAGGTCACTTAACCCCATTGCCTCACTCCCCTCCCCCAAAACAACAACAACAACAGCAACAACTTGTTTTTTAAAAAAATGTTGTGTTTTTTTTAAAGACTATAGGAGCTTCTGTTCTTGTCTTGAAGAGAGGAAAGGGTCGAGGATTTCAGCTGATTCAGAACCTGGAGATGATGGGTATTCCAGTTTAACAGTATCTGGCAAAGCATCAGTTGGCAGAGACCACAGCAGAGCAATATATAACCATGCCTGGTCCAGTACACAGTAGTCCAGGGACATGAGCTGCTCTTTATATTCTAGCTTGATGCATTCCCCACATGGGATCCCTTCCACGTGTGTCCCCTGACCATACATGTCCTCACATGCAGACTTCTCTAAAGGTATTCTCTACATGTGTCTGGTCTTACCACTGATGTTTTACACATTTGTGGGCGAGTACATGCTAGGATTATGAAGGAAATAATCTTGTTGCGACTTTTATTGGCATACCTTCTACCACTGTGGGAACAATCCCTACTTACAGATTCATCTACCTCGACTCCATATTCTTTATTCCTTACCTCCTAGAAAATGGAGTAGAGACCTGAAAAGTTTGACCTCATTACTCCAAGAGAGGAAGTCATGTAGGGTGTACTGAAAAGCGTTGGATTTGGAATTGTAAGACACAGGCTCATATCCTGGCTCTCCTATTTCCGGACTGTGTGGCAGGGGAAAAGTCACTCTCCTTCTATTGACCTCATTTGTAAAATGAAAGTATTGGACTGGATGATCTCTAAGATCCCTTCTAGCTGCATATCCTATGACCTATGACCCCTCAGGGAGACTATCAAAGAACTGTCTTTTGTCTTGAAGGCATCATTCAATAGTACAGTAATAGTGATAAAGAGTGTGCTGGGCATACCCTAAAGATCAAATAAGCCAAAGGTTATGAACAAGCCATTTTCTTTCATTTTTTGGGGGGGGTGAGGCAATTAGGGTTAAGTGACTTGCCCAGAGTCACACAGCTAGTGAGTATTATGTGTCTGAGGCTGGATTTGAACTCAGGTCTTCCTGACTACAGAAGTAGTCAGCTTAGCTGCCCCTGAACAAGCAATTTTCAAAAGAAGAAATGCAACCTAGCAACAATGATATGAAAAAAAATTTGTAACCACCAATAATAACAAAATACTCATTTCTTAGGTTCTCATCACAACTATCAAATGGACAAAAGTGACAATAAAAAAGAAAATGACAATTGTTGGAAGGACCATGAGAGCACAGGTATTGATGAATGCTCTGTTGTGGGGTTGCAAATTAGTCCAGACATTCTAGAAAGCAATCTGAAAGTTTACGCAAAAAGTTACTGAACTGTGCATATCCTTTGACCCAGTGTAGATGTATACCTCAAATATCATAAGACCAGAGCTATAGAGTTGGAAGGTAGCATATAGACCATCTAGTGAAACCCCTTCATTTTTTAAAGATGAGGAAACTGAGGCATAAAAGAGATAAATGATCTGTCCAAAGTCTCACCAGTAGTTAGTAACAGAGCTGAGATTTGAATCCAGTCATCTGACTCCAAATCCAGAATTCTTCCCACTACTCGATGATATGGAGGGAAAGGACCAGAGGCGTGTTGGAGTCAGCTCATACCAGAAAGAACCAGATTGTTAAATTTTCATTGCGAGCATTTACACCTCAAAAATCAGCAAATGCAAATCAGGGCTTGATTTCTTGTTTTGTTGATTGTATAGACTTAAAAAAGTGATAGAGCAAATGTGAATAATGAAGATTGAACTTAAAAGTGTGCTGTGTTGGACATTTTATTTTTCCAGAGAGTCAGTTGTTAAGCATTTACCAGCACATCCTTAGAAAGAACCTGTAAGTATAAAAATATTTATAGCAGTGCTTTTAGCTGCAGCAAAGAGGTGAAAAATGAAGTGTGTTCCCATCAATTAGGGAATGACCGAACAAACTATTCTATATGAATGTAACAGACTATAATTGCACCATAAGAAATGATGAAAGGGAGGGATTCAGAGAAACCTGAGACTTATATGAACTGAG